ACGCTCAATCCTGACCTGTGACCTGGAAGACAATTAGATACTAAAGAGAGAAGTTGGAGATTAGATGCTAAAGAGGTGAGAAAGAGGAGGGAGAGTCTGCATATCTGGACGGAGTTGGAAGGGTAGACGCAATTCATATTTTATTTGCTTAATTCAGTGCAGTTTCGTCTTATGTCTTACTTTAAAAAAAAGTAAAACAAGTATCTTGTTTTACTTTTTATATGTTTATGTTTTTATTCTATCTACTACTGACAACATGTCTCTGAAATTCAAATCAAAAATGCTTTCAGACTGCAAATGGTGTTTATATTCATTTAGAAACAACAATACTAATGCTTTAACCCGGGAAGAGTTCACAAATCAATATTTGGTGCAATAACCACCAGGTTTTCCATTTGGTTCAGTGCAGCTGCCTCTTCATTTTTACAGAGCTGTGATTTAAGTCCAGTTTATTATGCCAGTTTGGACCGAGTTCCTCCTGAGCAAGCACATCTGAGATAACTTGAATTTAAATGGATGTTTTTATTCCTTTTTTTTATCTACTTCTGGATGGATTTTTGTAGCGAGTGAAGAAAGCTGTAACAGCTATCCTTCACCACCAGGAGGCAGCAGTGTTTACATTAAAATGAAAGAGGATTTTGAGCATGGCTAAAGCGGCGTTAGGTTACGATTCAGTTGCCACTAATTTTTTATTAACTTTATCAGTTTGCATTTGATTTAGAAGGACAGATGTGGATTAATTTAGGGAATGTAGTTTTGGTTTTGAGGACAGAAGTTATCCTTTCCACACATTTACACCACAAACAATTTTTTAAAAATAAATCTTTGAAAAAAAAAATCTTTGCAAAGCTTTATCACTGAAAGCTGTATGCATGCGCAGAAAATCTCTGTTTTGCCAAAACAGATTAAATCCAGGTTAAAGATAGCTGCTAGCATGTGAACTTTATTTCATAAACCTTTTAACTGTCTGAGCTGCTGCAGAGGACAGATATTAACACAGAATTAATTAAAGTAAATATAAAGGTTGGAAGTAAAGCGACACCAATGATTCTCCTCTGGCGACTGAGAATGTAACGCATACAAACTGTAACACAACTGTTGGTAGTCCTCTGTCAATCACCCAAAACACACAATGGTTACAGAAACAACTCAAAACTGACAGACGTAATATTGAATATATTGGAGAATTGTGAGGCGCAAAACTCTCAAATATATGGATAAACAAAACAAACCACAGAGACGAGTTCTTACCGCCAGCCACGACGGGTCGGGAGATTTATTAACACGCCTCCCACGGATGCATCATACAAAGCATTGTTTCTCAAATCTCAAAGTTCTCAAAAGCAAAAATCTCCACGTTCTTTGTGTACAGGCGTTTTTATAGCTTCCAATGACGTCAAGGGTTTGAGAGAAGTTTTGACCAATCCAAATATCTCTGTTGGTTTGCGTCAAGATACTTGGCTGCCATTGACTGAGTGTGTGTTGGAGTTTCCCCGAAATACTAATGACCTCTTGATCTGAACATCTGCTCCACACCAGAACTGCAAAACAAGTCAATTAATAACAATTGTTGTTCTTATCTATCTAAACAGCTTACTTTCCGACCCGTTTTTTGGTACAACTTTTGTGCTTTTCCAGGTCAAATCAACCCTACTGGCGCCGGGAATCTTTTCTGCAAAAACAACTCCATAAAAAGTATTTCTGCGCTAACAAATAAAATTAACTGACAATTAAGCAACAAAAACCAGACATTGCTTTTGAAATGTGGTTCAACTGAATCATAAGAAAATAAATAAAGGAAGAACTATAGTGCCTCGAGAAAAGAATAGCCAGAATGCCTGAGGTGCAAAAGTTATAAAAATAATTTTCATTACCCAGAAAGGTTGAGCAATAAAATTATTCTGGTCAAATCATTTTGACCAGAATAATTCTGTTAGTGATGCCTGATTTTCATTGACTAGATTTTGGTAAATTTTTATTTATTATTCCCTTTGTTACCTTTCTGGTCATTAACAGAGGAACAAATTATTTCGTCCACTTCTAATGCTAGAAGTTAAAAGGCAAAGCATTATATTATAAATTATGTGAATAATTTTAAATGATTTTATGCTGTTTTACATTCTCTGAATAAAACTCTAGGAATTTCTTTCTCTGTTTAGGAAGATAATTGGTGTTACACTGCCTCCAACCTTTGTTTCCTGTTTCTGGATCAGCCGCAGACTCCAGAGTCTGAAACTCGTTCCAGCTTATGACTAAAGTTTCATTCTGTCCAGATTTATTTCCAGTTTATTTTAGTTAAAGTAGTTTGAGTTTAAGTAGGGGTCAGAGGTCATGTTTGGCATTAATTCAGGCCTAAAAACAGGCAGACGATGACGTAACATTTCGCGAAACACTGTTTGCTGAGACGTTTTTGAGAGAAAAGTTGCTATAAAACAGCAAAAGTTTGCTTTAGTTTTGGTCCCTCGTTGGATCAGCGATAAGCTTTCGCCTCTGAGACTGA